CCACGAAACGTTTGAGGGGTGTGCCAAAAAGGGGCGGTGGCGCCATGCGAGCTGCGCCACTTGGACCTCAAGTGGAGCTCCTTGAGGGGCCACGAAATCTGTGAGGGGTGTGCCAACATGGGGCGGTGGCGCCATGCGAGCTGCGCCACTTGGACCGTAAATGGAGCTCCCTATGGGGCCACGAAGCGTGTGAGGGCTTGTGCCGAAAAGGGGCGGTGGCGCCATGCGAGCTGCGCCACGTGGACCTTAGGTGGAGCTCCCTATGGGGCCACGAAACGTGCGAGGGGTGTGCCAAAAGGAGCTCCCTGAGGGGCCACGAAATCTGTAAGGGGTGTGCCAAAATGGGGCGGTGGCGCCATGCGAGCTGCGCCACTTGGACCGTAGATGGAGTTCCCTATGGGGCCACGAAACGTGTGAGGGGTGTGCCAAAATGGGGCGGTGGCGCCATGCGAGCTGCGCCACTTGGACCTTAGGTGGAGCTCCCTATGGGGCCACGAAACGTTTGAGGGGTGTGCCAAAATGGGTGTGCGGGACGCATGCGGGCACACTCACTGGGACCTTCGGTGGAGCTCCGTATGGGGCCACGAAACGTGCGATGATGGCGACGAGGACAACGATGATGGTGATGACGACGATGATGGTGATGATGACGATGATGGTTATGATGGCGGCCATGATGTTGATGCTGATGACGATGATGATGATAATGATGATGATGATGATGACGATGATGATGATGATGACGATGAGGATGATAGGAGGGGAGAGGAGGCGGAGGAGGAGAGGAGGAGGAAGGAGACGCGGGGCACCGTCTCTTCAAAACGAGGACCCAACACCACAGGATGGTCGGGAAAAAACCGTATGCGGTGACATGTCTTGTTCTAGCGTGGCACTTGTTCGCGAATCCCTTGCAACAAAAAATATGACGAAATGCACACGCGCGCGTCGTCGCGCGCGCATGCCGAAATCCTTCAAAAACCTTCGGTGCGGGAAGGATTTCGCAATCGAGTTTCCAAAACAACATACAAAAGCACAGGGTTTCGCAACACAGAGTTGCTAAAAAAGCTTCCGCGAAAGCTCTTGCGAAATCTTAAGAAAACCATATGTGTTTTCAAGATTTTCGCAACATGCTACCAAACGGGCTTCGCGCGCGCTCATGTCGAAATCTGTCGAATGCCCTTGCGCGTGTGCCGTCGCGAGAAACCCTTGCAAAAAACAGGACGAAGTGCAGGCGCGCGCGTCGTGACGCGCGTATGCCGAAAACCTTCAAAACCCATCGGTTTCGGAAGGATGTCAAAATCGTGCGTCCAAAAAACAAACAAAAACACAAGGTTTCGCAACACGGATGTTCAACAAAAGCGTGCGCGCGCGCTCTTGCGTCGTCGTCGTCGTCGTCGCCGTCCTCCCTCCTCCCGCGTCGTTGTCGTCGCCGTCGTCGCCTACGTCGTCCTCTGTCTTTCCTCGTGTTCGTCGTCGTCGTCCTCTTTGGCGTCGTGGTCGTTTCCGTCGTCGTTGTCGCCGTGGTCGATCTTCCTCCTCCGTCGTCGTCGTCGTCGTCCGTCGTCGGCGTCTCGTCGTCGGCCCTCCTATTTCGTCCCCGTCGTCGTCGTCGTCGTCGTTGTCGTCATCGTCGTCTTCCCTCCGCCCTCGTTGTTGCCGTCGTCGGCGTCGCCGTCCTTCCTCCTTCTTCGTCGTTCGCGTCGTCGCCGTCCTCCCTCCTCCCTCGTCGTTGTCGTCGTTGTCGCCGTCGTCGTCCTCCCTCCTTTCTCGTTGTCTTCGTTGGCGGCGTCGTCGTCTTCGTCGTCGGCGTCGGCGTCGGCGTCGTTGTCGTTTTCGTCGTCGTCGACGTCGGCGTCGTCGTCGTCGCCGCCGCCGTCGTCGTCGTCGTCGTCGTCGTCGTCGTCGGCGTCGTTGACGTCGTCGTCGTCGGTGTCGTCGTTATCGTCGTCGTCGGCGTCGTCATCGTCGTCGTCGTTGTCATCGTCGTCGTCGTCGGCGTCGGTGTCGTCGTCGTCGTTGTCGGCGTCGTCGTCGTTGTCGGCGTCGTCGAAGTCGTTGGAAACGTCGTCGGTGTCGTCGTAGTCGTTGCCGGCGGCGTCGTCATCGTCGTTGTCGCTGTCGTCGTCGGCGTCGCTGCTGTTGCCAAGTGCCATGTGGTACCCACCGTCGCGGTCTGAAGAGATTTTGCAAACCAAGTTGCGGGTGGGTGGGTGGGATGTTTGCGCGAGCAGTGGAGTGGACAATTCAATGCGAGCAGAAATTAATTGCACTACATAGACTGCACCGCATAGCTTGGGCAACATATATTGCACCACCTAAATTGCACCACGCCGGTTGCACCGCGTAGCTTGCGCCGCATAGAGTCCACCGCGTAGATTGCATCCATCACACACCTTGCCCCCCCCCCCCGCACACATACACACATATGTGTTTGTAAATATATGTGCACGTGTAGAAATCCGTGGGCACGGGGCGCAGGGGCCCGAGACCGGGGGACCCAAGATCCTCCCGGCGCGCATTTGGCGCGTCGTAGCTGTCTGTCTTGTCGCGCGTTTGGCGCCTCCTGTCCGCCAGCTAACGCGTTTGGCGTAGCTCGCACGCTCGCCAATTGTCTTGCCCACGCGCGCTTTGCGTATGGCGGCTTCATCGTCGTCGCTGTGGTGTTACATCCGCCGACCCGTATCGCAGCGGACCTGGGACCCCCAAGGAGGACGCCATCGTGATATGCGCTATCGGGCACAGGGGGACGGCGCACATAGAAGGTGCGGTGTTCGGTGGCGGACGAGCAAGATGATGCGCAGAAGGAAAGGGAGGAGGATGATGACTACGTTCGACGAATCTTGCAGCCATCAGGGATCAGGAATCAGGAGGATGAGGAAGGAGGGGTGAGGAGGACGAGGACGAACAGCAGCAGCGGGAACTGGAGTGGAAGGGGCGGGAAGAGCAGCAGCACTAAGGGAAAACGGAGGAATGGAAAGGAGGGGGGCGACGACGATGACAAGGGTTCCGATCCAGAAAAATTGCCGATTTTGTGGCGAGGGCGCCATTCTGAACGACGGGAGCAAAGCTCCGATCCTATAGTGAGGTCCGCGCTGCAGCGGGAGCACCAAGTTAATTCACCGACAAACGGAAAACATAAGAACGATCAAGTGTTGACGTTTTCTGTGTGAAGAACCGTGCGCGGAGAGGGTTCCAGACAGCCACGGGGGAGAGGACAATAGTATCCACAACGGGTGACGATGGTGGAGGAGAGGAAAGAGAGGACGGGAGGAGGAGAGAGGATGAGGGGGAAGGGGAGGGGTGGGGAGGGCGAGGCGGACTTGCACCACCCAAGCATAGTTGATGAATATGTTTGGGTGGTGTGGTGTGGTTTGGGGCTTGAGTGAAACTTACTACGTGGATGGGGCGTCATCGGTCGGTTCGTTTTTTGTCGGGCGCGCGCCGAGCGGGCATTGCCTCGGCGATGTCGACAATGCCCGCGGGCCGTTGGCGCATTCTGCCGACGTCAGCCATCGGGGCCAGTCTCGCGCAGATGGTCCAGACGTGTCGGCGAGCGGCCGCGCGCCCACCCTGCGCGTGTGGTGAATCTGGGCGGCGGCTTCCCAGCGCCGCAGGGACCGCCGCGAATGCAGCGCGTCTGCAGTTTCGGGGGCGGCAAAGAGGGGGGTGATGACTAGGGAGGGGGTGGATCTCATGGCGGGGGCCATGATATTTTTTCAGATTTCATGGCGCCTCTTCTTTTTTCATTACGTCCCTGGCCCCCCCGCTGGGCCGCACACATGCCGCCGGTCATGATTTGCACCCCCCCTCTTGGACACCCCCCTCTTGGCCGCTCCCGACAGTTTGCGCTCCGCCGCACTCGGCAAAACGATGTGCTGTTTGCCCCATGGCCGGGGCGTCATCGCTTCTGCGGGCGCTGCGTCGCTGCGGCCGCGTCGGCGCAACCGAACGTAGCAAGTGGAGACTGTTTCCGCGCTTGCGCATGCGGCTCCGAGGGCCAGCGCCATGTACACGAATTGCGGGGTTATGTTTCCCACAATTGGCCCCCCGCAGCGTGTTTGTATGTTATCCTCTTGTGTGCCTTCTGCACGTTTGTTCCCGTTCGTGGCCACGCTTGCGTGCGCTCTCTCTTCTCTGCGTTGCTTCGCCCCTCCTGCACCGTCTTCCGCTGCCTTCTGTGACATCATGTTGAGCACTCCTCTTGCGGCCCGGCGCACTGCCCGAGCAGGCAGGAGTCCCCCCTCCTGCCTCCACGGGCCGTCGCATCGCACCGCATCGCACCCCCCGCAGCGTGCCCCCGCGCCGGCCTCTGGAGCACGGCCCCCGGGCCTCTCCAAGAATAGTTCTACTACTAGGCGCCTCGGCCCCGCAAGGGCGACGCGCGGGCTCAGACCTCGCACAGCAGGTGTTCCGTGCCAAGCGCTCTCTGGCCATGCCGCTCGGGAAATGATATACATATATATATACACATGTATATATATATATGTATACATACATGCATGCATGCATGCATGCATGCATGCATGCATGCATACATACATACATACATACATACATACATACATACAGACAGACATTTAGATGTATACATATATACATATATATGTATAGGTCACAATATTCCTCCAGTCACAGCGCCGTAGGTACCCATCAACAACAGCAGCAGCAAAAGCACCAGCAGCTACATCTGCATCAGCATCAGCATCATCGTCATCATCCCTCTCCTTCCTCCTCCACATCATTCGGGCATAGCCAGGACCCCAGGTAAGGGGACCCGGTTAGTTGTAGGACCCAGAACTCCTTAATTGGCCAGAATCACTAAACCAGGTCTGCCGTAGCTGGTGTTTTTTCGGGCGACGGCAGTTCCGGTTAGTGGAACGGGCCGGGGGGGCGTCCCCCAGCACACATCACTAAACCAGGTCCCATTTAACCCAGTTTTGCCAACGCCCGAGTCACCCCTCCCTCCCCTCCCGGCCCCTCGTCTCCTCCAGCCCTGGCAGGTCTTGGTGTTCTCCACCTCCTTCGGCGCCCTGCTGTGCCTCGCCTTCGACGCGGCGCAGCTGACGAGGGCGAGCCCCTCCTGCCTCCCTGAGCCTGTCCCCCCCGTATCTCAGAGCGTGAATTACCTACCCCGCTTTCGCATCCAGGCAAAACCAAGTCATACCACGATCCTCCTCGCGAAGCGGCCTCAACTGTGCGGGCCGTAGCTTGGCATCGTTTGGTATCTTTTGGAAGCGAGGGTGGTCAAAAGCGAGGTGGGTTCGTTTGCCTCCTATCGTTGCCCCTCACACCCGCGTTCTCCGCTGAAGGCCGCCCCTTGCCGCGAGCCGCCCTGCAGGGCCACCGAAAGGTCCAGGAACAGGAACAGACGCCGAGTCGTCCGAGGTCGTGCGGGGCCAGGACGAAGACCAATTCAAGTCGGGCATGTCCCTCGACAGGAGGAATATTCAAAAATAGTGGAAGACATAATCTGGGGACGATTGATCGACTATTTTGTGTATTTTTGCGTATTTGTTCCACTGTCTCATTCTTCCTGCAAGATTCGCCATTAGGAGGACACGCCCGACCTAAGAATACATCCGTTCCAGAGCGTTCCGGAACGGTCTTGGAGCGTGCCAGAACGCTCCGACAAGGCCGCAGCGCGTGCGACATCCTCCAGAGTCGCCGGATTTCCGAGATCCCCCATGCTTGGCATCGCTCGGACGTGTGCATTTGTTCTCGGCGAGAACCATCGAGCCAAAAAAGCACGCGCGAAACCGAAAAATGCACGGGAAGTGGACGTCCGAGCCACGGCAAGGATTTGTCATCGTCCGGTGCTGGCACCGTCTTGGTTTCGCCTGCAGGGGCGGCCGCTTTGCCCTGCCGCGCCAGGCGGCAGGCAGGGCGACAGAGAAGTGGGCCAGCAAGTGTGCCAATGCCAGTGGCAAGGAATTGGGAGGAGGAGGAGGAGGAGGAGGAGGAGGAGGAGGAGGAGGAGGAGGAGGAAGGCGCCGTCCGTGATCTCTGCGGCGCCCAGAGGTTTTCCCCGGACATTGCCCCGTCGCGGCAAGAATGGGCCTCGCGTCAGGGGGGGCGACGAGTGGTGGGGCAGCGAGGGCTGCAGAAAAGGGGCCCCCGAGGGGGCCCTTTGGGGCCCAAAAGGGGGCCTTCAAGGCCCGAAAGATACAGCTTTCTTACCCCCCCCATTCTTTCCAGGCCTCCTAGATGGGATCCGAGTAGATGGGGTCGGAGGATCGCGCCGTATTGTCGATGCATCGGCGATGCGGCTCGATGCGGAGCCGATCTCCTCCACGCCAGCGGCGCCGATGAACCACCGACGTGGCCGGTGCGTCGCCAGTGCAGGGCCGATGTATCAGCGATGCATCGCGGATGCGTCGGGGATGCGGCTCGATCCTCCGACCCAAGCTGCTCCGACCCCATCTAGGATAGGAGGCCTTTACAGTGGAAACCCATGCCAAGAATCACCCTGCTGGCCACCATGGTGCCCTGGGTTTCTTGGATGTCGATGGTTTCGCCATGAAGCGCGTGACTTTCCCACACCAAAAATCAACGGACGTCCCGGGGTCTCAGGTTTGGGTGTCTTGTGGACGGGCCTCCATTGTCGGGGGCGGAAAAGAGGGGGGTGATGACAAGGGGGGGGTGGATATCATGGCGCGGGCCATGATATTTCCCCAGATCTCATGGCACCTCTTCTGATTTTATTGCGTCCCAGGCCCCCCCGCTGGGCCGCGCACATGCCGACGGTCATGATTTGCACCCCCCCTCTTGGACCCCCCCCTCTTGGCCGCTCCCGACACTGTAATCAAGCGACGCCGCCGGGGAGGAAGCCGTCGCTCCAGCTTCCATGCCTCCGGGGGGTCCCCGCCTTGGCGCCCTGCACCGGGGGGCGCCAGGGCGCGGCTCGGGGCGGGCAGCCTGCGCGGGGGGCAGCGGGGGCCCAGGCCCTCGGGGAGCCACGGCGCGGAGAGAAAAGTCGCGGCGTCGGGTGTCTGGGCGTACGTCGGGCCCTATCCCTCTACAGCAGGAAGATCCAAGAGTGGTCAAAGAATAGTCTGGGGAAGCTGTTTCGTGGTCTGTTGACTGTTTTTGAGCATGTGCTGATTTTGTCTTATACGTGGCCACGCGCAGACGTGGGGTAATTAGGGGGAGGGGGGAAGGCTTCTTAGAAGCACCCCTGCTTCTTAGAAGGCATGGGCCTTTTCTATAGATGTAAAGTCGGCGCCTTCTAAGAAGCAGCCTCCTTGTAAGAAGCCTTCCCCCCTCCCCCTACCCCCTTGTGCGCGCCACCAAATTATTGTTCTTCCACAATCCGCCTAGGAGGACATGCCCGACCTACTAAGTCTGGTCCCCCCGTCCTCTTCGGCAGCCTCTGTATTTCGCAGCCGCCGGCCCAGTGGCCCTCTAGGCGCCTCTCGTCGGGGCGATCAACATGGGTACCGAAACAGCGGGTGCAAAGTCCAACAGCACCTCGCTGTTCATTATCCTCGTCATCGTCCTCCTCCTTCCCCTCCTCCTCCTCCTCCTCCTCCTCCTCCTCCTCCTCCTCCTCCTCCTCCTCCTCCTCCTCCTCCGTCCTCCGTCCTCCGTCCTCCGTCCTCCGTCCTCCGTCCTCCGTCCTCCGTCGTCGTCCTCGTCCTCCTCCTCCTCCTCCTCGCTCCTCCGCCTTCCTCCTCCTCCTCCTCCTCCTCCTCCTCCTCCTCCTCCTCCTCCTTCCTCCTCCACTCCTCCTCCTCCTCCTCCTCCTCCCACCTCCTCCTCCTTCCTCCTCCTCTCCTCCCTCCTCTCTCCTCCCCTCCTCCTCCCCTCCTCCTCCTTCCCTCTCCTCCTCCTACCTCCTCTCTCCACCGCTTCTCCCTCCCTCCTCCTCCTCCTCCCTCCTCCTCCTCATCTCCTCCCTCCTCGCCTCCTCCTCCTCCTCCTCCTCCTCCTCCTCCCTCCCTCCCTCCCTCCCCATCCCTCACCTCCCCCCGCCCTCCCTCCCTCCCTCCCTCCTCCCACCCTCCCTCCTCCTCCCTCCTCCCTCCTCCACCTCCTCCTCCGTTCCCCCGCTGCCACGTAGACTGTGGCGATCATGACACTCATGACACGCCTCCTCCTCCTGCCCTCCTCCTCCTCCTCCCTCCTCCTCCTCCTCCTCCTCCTCCTCCCTCCTCCTCTTCCTCCTCTTCCTCCTCCTCCTTCTCCCCTGAGCAGGGTTCGCTGTCGGCGTCGCCGCAGCCGTTGTCCATTTGAGACAGCAGGAGCACAATGCCTTGAGCCCGCCGCTTGTGCTACCAGCGGCGGGGCAAGCCTCTTCCCCGCCGCTAATTTCCCTTTAATGTTTCCCGATAATTGTCTTTTAATGTCCCTCTAATTGTCTTGCATTCCCGATAATTGTCTTGTATTTCTGATCCTCGGCCATACGGTGTACACTATACAAGCGACACAAACGCATGGTATCAAGGAGGAAGGAGGAATGAGGAGGCCTCAGACCCTCCCTCACCAGTAACATGCCCACCCTCATCCCTGCCCCCTCCTCGCCTTCCCCCTTCCTTCCTCATCGTCCTCTTCACTGCTATTCTACTCGAGATGGCTAAGCGGCGGACTTCCCGACACCTCGTGCCGTTCCCTCTTCCCACCTTTCCTCCTTTCCTCCTTGGCATTGCTCGGGCGTGTGCGTTTTTTTCCTTTGCGAGGACCATCGAGGAGCATCATGGACCACGTAGCAAACCAAACACGCGCGAAACCGACACATGCACGGGGAATGAACGTCCGAGCGATAGCAAGCCTCCTGCCCGCGCTGGGCGATAGCAAGCCTCCTGCTGCGAGGGCTGGGCACGGGAATTACCGTCCAGGCACTAGAGGGAAAAAATCCCAGGGAGGTCCCGGGAGGTGGGGCCCCGGGAGGTGGGGGCCTTCCCGCTAATTCTTCCCTGTGTTTTTACAGGGTTTCATTCTCGGTAAATTATCGGGAAGGGTCCCCGGGAGGTGGGGCCCCGGGAGGTGCCCGGGAGGTCCGTTAATTTTGGACGGTAATCCCCGAACCCCTGGACGGTAATCCCCAGCAATGAAAATCATGCGGGGCGAGGGGTTGGGGAGCTCGGGTTGCTCTCTTGCAGTTGCGCCTCGCCGAGAGCCTTCCAGAGCCTCCTTCTCCTCCTCCTCCTCCTCCTCCTCCTCCTCCTCCTCCTGCTCCTGCTCCTCCTCCTTCTCCTCCTCCTCCTCCTCCTCCTCCTCCTCCTCCCTCTCGGTGACGTGGTGACGGCCCTCCCTCCTCTCCTCACCCTCCTGCTGCCCCTCTCCCTCCCCCTCTTGCTGCTCCCCTCCTGCTGCTCCCATTGTTCGGCTCCTTTTCCCCACTTGTTCCCTCCGTCGCTTCGTCGTCGTCCCCTCTCGTCGTGTTCCCCTCACCTGCATCCTTCCTCCACGTCTCGCTCTTTCGACTCGTTCGATGTATCGTGCCATCATACCGTCACCATATCATCTAGTGTACGTCTTATGCTCATATCATGTTCTACGTGCAATATTGCAGGCCAACCATGTAAGACCGAGTATGGCTGACGCCCATAAGCATTCATTGGAACAGGGGAATTAGCGGGAATTAGCGGGAACGGTTAGAGGGGAACCAGGGGAATTAGCGGGAACCAGGGGGATTAGCGGGAAAATAATTTCCAGGAAATGTTTGGGATTATCGGGAAGAGGAATGCGCGGGACAGCTCTGGTAGCACAAGCGGCGGGCCCAAACAATGCCCAACAATAGATGTTGTCCAAAACCGCCAGCGGCCTCTGTTGGGCAGGCGGCTTTTTGTTCCAGAGTGAACAGGCCCGCGGCGGCACCAACAGCCTATCCTATTCAATGATACCGGAGAAACCCCAATCAGGGCTGTAGGGCTAGGGAGGTATAGGGCTATAGAGCTATTGAGCTATAGGGCTATAGAGCTATAGGGCTATAGAACTGTAGGGCTATAGGGCTGTTGGGCTGTAGGGCACCCCCGGGCACCCGGGCACCCACGGGCCCCCCCCGGGCACCCGGGCACCGGGCACCCCCGGGCACCCGGGCACCTGGGCGTGCAGCGAAAATCGGCGGCAAACCTGACCTGATCATATGAATCCGCCAGGACCCCTACAGAGGCGAGCTCTGATTGGGGAAAATGGGCAGGAACTGTTGCTGGTCTTTCCGTACCCATTCCGGGGGGGAGGCCCAGCAGAGACGGCCCAAGACGTCCAAAAGCCCTTTTCGTTGTCCTGGGAATGAATCATTCGCCGATCTGATTTGATCAAGCCGCGACCCCAGAGGGGCCCGACCGCTTCCCCGGGAGCAGGTTTTCGTCACGGATCAGTGTGTGATTGTCTTGGGCCCGAAAACGCTTTCCAGAGGCTGAAGTCGGGGAAAACCGCCAGGATTGAAAAAGTCAGATCGTCAGAGATTTGGGGTCGTCATCCTTGGCGTCCCCAGCGGTCATCCCCCGCCTGCGTATTCTGCGGAGCGCGCTTCCCTTCAGCAGGCACTCGGAGCACGTTTGCCGTTATTTTGCTGCTCGAGGCGAGCAACGAACACAGAGTTTGCCACACTCGGCGAGGCACAGGCAGCAACGATCAGGGCGCTGCTCCTGGAGTTCTTGAGCTGAGCAGAGTCCTCGTCGTCTTCGTCGTGATCTCTGTTCCGCAGCAGGCCTCCCTGCCCAAATGGTGCTGCGCGCATGCATCCCCTCCACCCATTCCGCACACACACACACACACACACACACACACACACACGCACACACACACACACACACACACACACACACACACACCACACGCTTCGTGGCCTCATAGGGAGGTCCACCCAAGGGCCAAATGGTGCCGCCCGCACACGTCCTTGCCATCGATTTCGGCACACCCCTCACGCTTGGTGGCCCCATAGGGAGCTCCGCCCAAGGCCCAAATGGTGACGCCCGCATGCGTCCTCGCCTCACATTACGGCACACCCACCCCATCACGCGTTTCGTGGCCGCATAGAGAGCTCCACCCAAGGCCAACATGGTGCCGTCCGCATGCGTCCCCGCCCTATTTCGGCACACCCCTCACACGATCCGTGGCCCCACACGGAGCCCCACCCACTACCCAAATGGTGCCGCCCGCATGCGTCCTTGCCATCCATTTCGGCACATTCCTCACACGTTTCGTGGCCACATACGGAGCTCCGCACAAGGCCAGTGGTGCTAGCCGCATGCGTCCCTGACACCAATTTCGGCACACCCCTCGCACGCTTCGTGGCCCAGTAGAGAGCTCCACCCAAGGCCCACATTCTGCCGCCCGCATGAGTCCCCGCCACAGATTTCGCCGCACACCCCAAACGCTTCGTGGCCCCATGGGGGGGAGCCCCACCCGCGGCCCAAATGGTGCCGCCCTCGTCCCCGCCGCACATATCGGCACACCCCTCGCACGATTCGTGGCCGTGTAGCGAGTTCCACCCCGCACACGTGGCCGTGTAGCGTGTTCCGTCCAGTTGGGCCCCATAGGGGGAGCTCCACCCCAAGGCCCACACAGTGCCGGCCGCATGCGTCCCCGCCACCCATGTCGGCACACCCCTCATTCGTGTCGTGGCTTTTGTAAGGAGCCCCACCCAAAGCCCAAATGGTGCCACCCGCAAACGCCTTTGCCATCAATTTCGGCACACCCCTCACACGTTCCGTGGCCCGACACGGAGCCCCACCCACGGCACAAATGGTGTTGCCCGCATGCGTCTTGGCCTCACATGCCGGCACCCCCCTCACACGCTTCGTGGCCCAGTAGAGAGCTCCACCCAAGGCCCACACGGTGCCGTCCGCACGCGTCCCCGCCACCCATTTCGGCACACCCCTCACACGATTCGTGGCCCCATATGGAGGAGCAACACCCAAGGCCCAAGTGGTGCTGCCCGCATGCGTTCCCGCCCATCATTTCGGCACACCCCTCACACGCTTCGTGGCCAAGTAGAGAGCTCCGCCCAAGGCCCACACGGTGCCGTCCGCCTGCGTCCCAACCACCCATTTCGGCATTCCCCGCACACGTTTCGTGGCCCCATGGGAGGGAACTCCACCGAAGGCCCAAGTGGTGCCGCCCGCATGAGCCCCCGCCACACATGTCGACACACCTCTCACACGTTCCGTGGCCGCACACGGAGCATAACCCACAGCCCAAATGGTGACGCCCGCATGCGTCTTGGCCACACATGCCAGCACACCGCTCACACGCTTCGCGGCCCCATAGGGCTCTACCCAAGGCCCAAATGGTATTGCCCGATGCGTCTCCGCCGCCCATTGTGGCTCAGCCCTCACACGCTTCGCGGCCCCATAGGGGTAGCTCCACCCCAAGGCCCACATTGTGCCGGCCGCATGCGTCCTCGCCACCCATGTCGGCACACCCTTCACACGTGTCGTGGCCCTGGTGTAAGGAGCTCCACCCAAAGCCCAAATGGTGCTGTCCACAGATGTCCCCGCTACAGATGTCGGCACACCCCTCACACGTTTCGTGGCCCCATATGGGGGAGCTTCTCCCAAGGCCCAAATCTTGCTGCCCGCATGCGTCCCCGCCACCCATTCGGCACACCCCTCACACGTTCGTGTCCCCGCCACTCATTCGGGCACACTCCTCGCACGTTCCGTGGCACCATAGGCAGCTCCACCCAGGGACCCAATGATGCCGCCCGCATACGTCCCCGCCACCCATCCCCATGACATGCTTCCCACGTTTAGTGGCTCCACAGGCAGCTCCACCCAAGGCCCCATGAGGAGATCCACTGAAGGCGATACTCACAACGATAGTTCCCACAACTGCATAGGGTCTGTGTCTTTCGCCCGGATAATCATCATGTTTTTTTGCGAGCATCGTCAAATCAGTTCATTGTGTTGTTTAACATTGCCGTCTACGACGTCTTCAGTTCCTTATTGCGCTTGGTCATCTCTGTAGTAAGATTATAATGTTTTCCTTTTGTTCGCCTCTGGCCGTCGTTGCTGGTTGGTCGCGAGGCCTCTGGGCCTGTTTCGCAAAGGTGCTAGACAGGAGGGCGTCTTGTTTGCGCTGTTTACAACTGCGCGCGGAGCGGGAGGGACGGGGGGCAGCAGGAACGGGAGGGCGGGAGCGAAGACGGCAGGGAAGACAAGGAGCAGCCCTCGACGGGATAGCAAAACATAGTTTGAAAGCAGATCACGGCGACGGGCAACCACGCGCCCCAGCGGTGTTCACGAGAGGGCCCCGCCAGCCCGACGGGCGGGCCTCTGTTTCTTATTGGTGCCCGTCCTCGACGCGCCGCCCTCGGCCTCGTCACTGTCGTCGTCGTAGTCGTCTTCGTCGCCAGAGGCGGCGGCGGCGGCGGCGTTGGCGGCGACCCCCCTGGCCCGACCGCCGTGCCTCTGCTTCTCGACGCTTCCCGTCCTCGTCGCGCCACCTTCGGCCTCGTCCTCGCGCGGATGGCCACGCGGCGCCGCGCTGGTGGCTGCGCGCGCCAACCTCGGCCTCGGCCTCGGCCTCGGCCTCGTCGTCGTCGGCGTCCTCGTCGTCGTCGGCGTCGCTGGCGTCGCTGGCAGCGGCCGCGTCGGCGGCGGCACGTCGTCGGCGGCGGCGGCGGCGACGCCTCGCCGCGCCGATGGCGCCTCGGCCGCGCGGAGCGGCTCTCTCCGGCCCTGCGCGCAGGGCCTGCTGGGGCAGGGCAGGGCGATCGACGAGACGGGGCCGCGGATGCTGGCGCGCCGCCCCGCCCCGCCCCCCCCTCGCGAGAGAGATCGATCGAGGCCCTCGGGCGTCGTCACAGTCGAGGACGAGGGCCGCGGGGGGACTCGAGGAGGAGGAGGAGGAGGAGGAGGAGGAGGAGGATCGAGAGGGAGCATCGAGGAGGAGGCTCGGGGATCGTCCTCCCACCCGGGCCTCCTTTCCCTCCCTCCCTTCCTCCCTCTCCTTCTCCTCCTCCTCCTCCTCCTCCTCCTCCTCCTCCTTCTCCTTCTTCCCCTCCTCCTGTCCCTCGTCCTCCTCCCTTCTGTCGTGTGGGCCCCTTCTCCTCACCCCCCTCCTCTTTTCCCTTGTTCCTCCCCCGTGAGCGCGCGATGCTCGTGGAGGATCCGTCGGAGGCCGTGCAGAGTCTCTGTCTTTCGTGCTCTCTCAGCTCTCTGGGCTCGGGGCAGCGCTGCGACTGCAGCTTTCATGCGGGCTTGCGCCCGCCGGGCCTGGTCCCGGGTCGTCTTCACTAGAGAAGGTGTTGCTGAAGGTTCGAGGGTCGGGTCGGACGAAAAGGAGGCCGAAGGCTCGAGGCTCGAGGGTCGGGTCGAGAGAGGGTCGGTTGCTGAAGGCTCGAGGGTCGGACGAGAGTTGCTGAAGGCTCGAGGCTCCAGGGTCGGGTCGGGTCGGGGGAGAGGGAACATGGGGGCGGGGGGGTCGAAGTCTGCTGCGCTGTCTCTGCCCCGACTTCGCCGCAGATGGCGGTGCAGTTAAGAGACCGAAGGAAGCCATGCCGGGCTCGTGAGGGGCTCTGCCTCGGCGGCGCGAAGAGGCCGAAAGAAGCCATGTCGGGTTCACGAGGGGCGCTCCTCGGCGGTGCGCTTTCTGGGCACGCAGGGGTTGGCGCGACGGGCAGTGGAGCCCTCTAGGCAGCCCCCCTGCCTTGTGGTCGTTCGCTTATTATTTGTTGTTTTGCCGATCGGAGCGGGCTCCCCCTCCCTCCGCGGAGTAGATCTTGGCTGTTTTCGGCGCCTGTTTCGAGCAGGGGGCGTGTCCCCCGCAGGACGCGCTGTTGCAAACAGTCGCACGAAGCAGAGGTTCGGAGCCAGACCCCCCCCCCCTCCCCCCCTTTCCGCCCAATGTCGAAACGCCGAATCAGAAAACGCTCACCACTTCTTAGAAGGCCTCCTCCTCGCGCGCGCGCGCGCGCGCAAGGGCACAAGGGATTGGCGTCCGCAGGTCCCCTCCTCGCGCTATGCCCCCCCCGTGTGCCTCGGCATCGCTCGTGCGTGTGCGTTTTTCTTTGTCGGCGAGGACACCATCGAGGAGCCTCGTGGGCCATCTTGCGAGAATCGGCGGCGAGCGAGGGGGGGAGACGAGAAGGAGCAGGCCTTCTCAGAGAAGGTGGCAGGGCTTCTCAGAAGCCCCTCGCGCCTGCTGAGACAAGTGTTCTGCGTCTTCGGGGAAGGCACGGACAAAGCTTCCCAGAAGGCCCTGGGGGATTTCCGAACCAGAGAATGGGGGGCCCCCAAACGGGGTGGTGACCACACCGTGTGGTGAGTCTGTGGAGATTCGGGGTCACCGCACGGTTTTGGGACTCGGGTCGTTCTCCGAGGACGTCTCGGGCGGCTGGGGCATCCGAGGTCCCAGAACCGTTGACGGACCGTGCGGTGAGGTCCTGGGGGGGTTCGAGGCCACCGCACGGTCTGTCACCGCACCGTTTCGGTACTCCAAAAATGCTTCCTCTCCTGCTCGCTTCCCCCCCCCGTGGCTCGCCGCCAAGGGGAGGTGCGCTAGGTGGCCTCATGCGAACCCTACCCCTACCCCCCCCTCCCGATTTCTGAGGGGGGGGTGGGGTTCACTTCGTTCGGGAGCTCCCGAGCGAAGTGAACCCCACCCTCCGCCAGTGAGGCCCTCTTGGGCCTTGATTGTGGACATCGGGTGATGAGCTTGTCGATGTCGTCCGTTTTCCACCATACTTGCCACAGTCCGTGGAACTCGCCGCTCGGACCTGCACTGCCGTCTCAGATGTCTGCATGGTCGAAAGCACGAGCGTCGACGAGGTCAGCGCCGTTGGAGTTGGTTCAGCGGCCCCGAGGAGGAGGAGGAGGAGGAGGAGGAGGAGGAGGAGGAGGAGGTAGCGGAGGCGCGGTGGGTGGGCAACAGCTTGGAGTGCGAGGAGGAGGAGGAGGAGGAGGAGGAGGAGGAGGAGCTGTCCCTGGCCCCAAGGTGTCCCCAGGATCCTCTGGGGAGGCTATCCTCCTACTGCTGCGACAGCACATGTTTTACGCATCTCTTTTTGCATCCTTGAGACTCTCGCGATCCGCTGCCCTCCCCCGCGCCCTCCCCCGCGCGCCACAAGCCTGCAGACGAGAATGAGTTGCCCCTGCCTTTTTTTCGGTTGTGCTGGCCCAGACGTGTTCGCTTCGTGAAATCACGACGGGAGATTTTTGGCAGTCTTCGGCCACCGTGGGCCTTCGCCCGTACACGGGGCCATCAGGAAACGGTTCGGGATGGAAAGCCAGCTCCGGGGAGAGGCTCGGGATTTCGGGACCTTGTGTTGAAAGAATCAAGGCATCGCATATTTTTGTCTTTCTCTTCCTCCTCCGTCTGCATTCTTCTGTTGGGCTCTCCAGAAAGGGCCTTGTCTTCGAGGGTCGAAGGAGTTAGCATCTCTTCCTCAGCGGAAGGCTGGCGGAAACAAAACGCCAGCGGATGCGCCGGCGGAAGCCAGCCGAAGGCCAAGGAAGGCCTGGCGAAGTAACACATGAGTTCTTCCACATTTTGGTTCCAGGGTTTCCGGAACCCGCCATGTTCGCCCAAGGCCCATTTCGATTCGATCGATCCGATTCGATGCCGAGCGCACTGTCGCCCAGCCCGATCCGATTCGGTTCCGATGTTCCGACGAACCGATGCGGCCCGATGCTTGCATTGGGGCTGTTGTATAGCCTGGCGCGGCCGATCCGATTCGATTCCGACTCAGTGCCGATGCGGCCCGATCCGACGCACGTTTTGGTCCGATCCGATTTCCTGATTCGATGTCGTCTGATCCTGTCTCCCCGCTGCCCATTCTCACAATCACGCACCACTTTGGATTCAGGAGGTCTTTTTGGTTTCGGGCCGTTCCTCTGGTCTAGGTCGGGGAGCCGATTCGCGGCTGGAGCTCGACGTAGTCAGAAGAGCCCCCCCAGTGCTCACGCAGCGTTCCTTACATGGTGGTACGGTGGCAAGTAGGCGTCGAAAGAAGCATGTTGACGTATGCGCGGCATAGCAAACGGCTGGCGTTTCCTCCTCCTGCCTCTGCATGCAGGGCCTCGGTTTCGGTCCTCACTGCGCCCATTTATTTAATCGCTTCGCTCATTCCGCCGGCCCATACAGTCTCATGTCTGCCGTTTGCCCGAGGGCCTGGTGTCAATGCGGCGCTTTGGGGGTTCCTGGGGCCGCTTGGGGGACTCCTGGGGCGCTCGGGGGGGCATTTGGGGGGCCTCCTGGGGCCGCTTGGGGGACTCTTGGGGGCCTCCTGAGGGCCTCGTGGGGGCCTCTTGGGGCCTCTTAGGGGCCTCTTGGGGCCTCGTGGGGGCTTCTTAGGGCCGAGGGCTCGAAATGTTGTTTCGTGTTCCCTCTCTGGGGCCCCCTTGGGGGCGTTCTTGGGGCCCTCTTGGACCGTCTTGGAGGCTTCTTGGGCCGTCTTCGAGCCCTCTTGGGCCATCTTGGGGCCCTCTTGGGGGCCTCTTAGGCCCTCTTGGGGCGATCTTGGGGGCCTCCTGGGCCGTCTTGGGGCGTCGGGAAGCCGAAAAGGTGGAAGCTCCAAAATATCTCAAAAACCTAAGGAAAAGCTATGAATTTTGCATCTTGGGGCCCTTTTGGGAGTGCTCTTGGAGGCCTCTTGGGGCGTCTGGGGGCCATCTTGGGCGTCTTGGAAAGATCATGTGGCATCTCGGAACCCTTGTGTACCATCTTGGGAGCCTCTTGGGGGCATCTGGACCCGTCTTGAGGGTTTCGGGGACGTCTCGGAGCCCTGTTGGTGCGCTCCTGGAGCGCTCCTGGAGCGCTCTGGGGGAGTCTCCCGGGGATCGCTCGGGGGTCGGTCGGGGATCGCCCGGGGTACTTTTCGTCCGACCCCCAGGGGCCGCCCCGCGCGCGCGAACTAGAGATACTGTTAACCAGTTACCGGAGACCTTAGCACGCCTCTGGCCCGTTGGGCCGGCGAATTTCGTGCGTTGCCACAGGAGGAGGAGGAGGCGGAGGAGGAGGACGAGGAGGACGAGGAGGACGAGGAGGACGAGGGTAGAGGGGGAGGCGCAGGAGGAGGAGGAGGAAGAAGAGGAGGAGGGGAGGAGGGAGGAGGAGGCGCAGGAGTAAGAGGAGGAGGAGGGGAGGAGGAGGAGGAGGAGGAGGAGGAGGAGGAGGACGACGACGAGCTATCCCTGGCCCCAAGGTGTCCCCAGGATGTTCTGGGGAGGCCCAGGTGGCCTCCGGAGCACCCCTCACGAGGCCCAGAGGGCCCCTATACCGGCTCCAATCACGCAGCAGGAAAAAATTGGGAACACCTTGGTCTCACCAGCTTCGAACTGATCCCTATCAGTTGATTTAGTCACACCCGTGCCATGCCTCAGCGTCGTTTGCATAACTTTGCCGCAGCTGCTCTGGCTGTGGTCATCGAAAGGGGAGCGCCCGCCCGCGCGCCCGCCAGCTGGCCCGCCTTCTCCCCGAGTGCTCCGATGATTGCCATAGTTTAACAGCACAGAATAGCATCGCTCCATGGCCACAAGGAGTACGTCACCAGTACGTCGCTTAAACCGCGCAGATCTGAGCATGAAACTACTGCAAGAATAAATATCGCCACGACGAACAAACACACGCTTTGCCGTTTAATCGGGCTGCGAAAGCTCCCCTCCTGACGGAGAACTGGCAAAACATTGGTTATCAGCCGGAAGTGTTGTCATCGATGACAGTGGTTCCACCAGAGAAGGAAATTATGTTTCTACCTTCAGTGGATGATGTACGAAAGCAAGAAGACCAACGCCACGGCT